CATTCAGATGCTTGTCCTGGGAGTTTCGTAAATCTATGTATTCGTCGCGGGAGAGGTACTGTGACCGGTGTTTGTCGGGAAAGGAAGAGGAAACAGGCGTCGCTGCCATGGTAACGGTGGTGAGAGTGGTTGTAGAAATGACCATTTGCGACGATCGGAATGGTTTGGTTGTAGGCGCTATGGCATGGCTTTGTCAGAATATGCCTTGACAGGCGCTCATGTCGGGAGGAGGTGGGCTGTTAAGTACCCATCAGGGGAGTTGTGGGGTGGATGTCAGGCTTTCATTGGCTGTCTTCTCCCCGCCCGAACAGAAGACGTTCAAAGTTGGGCAGCGCTTCGCACAGTTCCATCCTGAGCACCTTTGAACGCGACTGGTTGGGACCAAGGGTTCTCGCTCAAGGCCTGAGCAGGAACACTACAGACGTTTGTGTGTGATTTGCAAAGGCCACGATGCAGCATTATTGCGTTGCACCCATCCATCCCTCTCCGTGTCCGCATGCTAACCTCGGGTGACTGCCTGGCCATGATACAGTGTGATAGCGTAATCTGCCTTGTAAATTGTGACTCAATGGCCATGATTCAAGTCGCAGATACATTTCCGTGCTGAACAGAGGGGTCCAGACTTGTGTTCTCCAAGTTACAAAACAGATTTTCAGCGAATATTTATACAAGCAACTAACAAAAGTACGCAGGGACATGGATGATTATTCAAGCAGCACCGACCGAGATGGCTCCTGATAGTACATACACCGGATCTGGGTACGAGGTGAGGGCCACGTAGACGCCTACGCCGGAAGGGCGCTTCAACGCGTTGCACTCACCAGCAACGCCACCTCCGAGCGCTTACTGCGATTTACTGCTTGGGAACCATGTGCAGTAGCGGGAACAAAGTTTTGAACAGGCAACTTAAAGAATGGATAGTGTAGATAATACATAGAGCGAAGTGGGTGTCGCGCTTGATCCTCAGTTGTTCGGCTTTCAGTGGCCTGGCCTTGTTTGTTTGTCACCCGGGAGCGGAGTCCCCGCTGACCATGTAGCCTAGAATCCTGGATCTAAGATGTGCAATGAAGCCCGCAGAGGGGATTGCGATCCACTGACTTGAACTTTGATCACGGTTCCGAGCCAGGAGCGTGGATGCTTGGGTACACGATGGCTAGCAAGGTACCAGACTCTTGGGAGTATTCCCGCCAAATTTATACAAACGCACCGCTGGGCTCCATCCATGAGCCACTGAAGCGAATTGCAGATCCGCATCAGCCGCTTTAAGCGGGGCGCATTTCGTGATTCATGATGAGGCAGGCCTACGGCAAGAAGTGTTGCCTCTCCTCTCGTCGCTGTGGTTGGAATAATCAAAGGCTGGTCGTAATGCGAAACACAGACTTCCAATGGCTTCAATCGCGTTCTTCAATTTTGCATTGGAGACGGATCATGCTCAAAGGTGTTTGCTCAGATTGCTTCAGTCCTTGACTAGTTTGGTGCGTGGCACAGGCCAAACACCAGCAAGGGATTGCATCGATAGTACTGTAACGAGTATATGGCTTCCTCTTTGTAGACGACTCCATCTTTCTGAGCTCGACCCTACACGAGCTAGACCTAGACTTGATCTCACTATGTACTGTCCGCCACGCTTGATAGTGGGTAAAGATGGCTGTTGAAGTCAAATATGGATACCTCGAGTAGCTTTCGATGAAGTGCCCTAACTCGTACTGACACTGTCCCAACCCCACAATTTGTTTGCAAACAAGCTGCCACGGCCGTTGCCAGAGGTTTAGGAAGGCCCAACATACAGGAGAATTCGAATTTGGTTTCCGTCTTTGTAGATAGGAATTATTCCGTGCACAGACATATGTGGATCTCCTTGCTGACGGGATACACACCGAGACCCAACGAGTACCTTCATCGATGATCTCCACAGTAACGCCAGAATCGCTTTTTTACTGTATTCTAATCTTAGCCCAATGTTGCATACTGTCGAGACTGCACTTACTGTCACCATTTGTGGATGTTGGATAATGCAACATGGGTGTAATCCACGAACACAGTGTAAAAGCAATTTCTGACTTCGGCTATGGGGGTCATCAAGAAGGTACCGTCGGAGCGTTGTCATGTACCCTGTCAGCAAACGGATCCACAAACATATGTGCGCAGAAGAGTTTTTCTTCATGACAAGGAAACCGATTTCGATATCTACTGTACCAGTATTGGGCTTCTCAAACATTAAGATCATTTGCAAAACATGAGGTCAGTCAACGTGAGTAGCTCCCAGAGTCTGGGGCCAGCTATGGATCCTGTCCTTGACCAAGCCAGATGTCGTGATATTTCGGACAGCCAAAACCCGCCCCTAATGTTGATTCTGGAGGTGCTTGATTGTGGACTGCCGTTCACGCTGCTGACACTTATTCTGGACGTTGTTGAATGATGAGAATCAGTCAACGAAAGCGATTGGGTGAAGCTTGGTGCAAACAGCAGTTTGCGGCGCCATGGAAGAGTATCGGATGGGCTTCCAGCAATAACAGCAGCGATTGATGGGTGAAGAGTAGAATGGGACTCCACAGCCGGCGAACGGGGTTTGGCCTTTATCCCTGCATGTTAAACAATCTGGTTTCACCTGCAATTGCCATTCCGGACGTTTTGGGTTCGTACGGTCTAGCCTTGTGATCAGTAGACCCATCTCGGAGCCGAAAGGACCGTGAATGTTGTAAAATTAGACTCGCTGGAACAATTCCCCTGTGGCTGAGTCATCACTAGAGGCCCTGACCGATGCGCCGGGCTGTATGTACCGTACCGTACGACTTTATCATGTGTGAACCATGGAGTTATCTTTGCCGCGGGGTCGCCGAGCCGTCTTCTGCTTACTGTAGGGCCCAACCTTTTACGGAGCTGGTGCACAACGTAAGCACCCTGATTTGCGTGGGCATTGATGACACTGTCCCCTCCGCGCTTCTGACAGACTCGCCGTGGCAAGACCTTGAGCGACTGCTTACAGAAAGGATATGACACTTCGAGTCAGCGTCTACAGTACTTGCCAGCGAGGATTTAGATGTGAACGAGACCCGATCGGTACCTTGTCAGTTTGATTACTTCTCTCAAAATCAAGTACTTTCATCACTAAACTGTCCGACCCTGAAGATTGATGTGTTGCTGACGATCTCCGGTTACGCTGTCCAGGCTGGCCGCATCATGTGCAATGTCATCCACTGGTCGCGACCACGGCTGGCAAAGTGTAATCAAACCCAACTTTCCAAAACCTGCAATGGAGCCGGTTATCATATACACATGCCTTGACCCATAACTCAGCAGATAACCGCAGAAGTAATGCTAGGTACGTAGTCTAGTTACGAGCCTCACTTTTCCAGAGACACCGCTGGGTTTCAATGCATTCTTGCGATGCAACTCAGGAGATGACCCTTGTTACAGTATGCACACAGTGCCAAACTGTCTCAACACACAGTTTGGCTACGTCATTGCCAACGAACGTGGTCTGCGACGCGATGAGGCGAGCGGGAAAGACAGTGCTCACCGACCACGGAATACATCGCAGTTAAAGGGAGCAAAATGGAGAATGGACTCGTGCTGGTAAGAATGGATCTTGACTTTGTCGCCTACATTCCATACAGTACATCACAAACAGTCTTTTACGCTGCAATGCCACGAACGGATCAAGACGACTGTCTGCGTCTCACGCGGGTTTTGGCACGCGGGTTTTGGCACGCTGGTTCTGTCACACTGGTTCTGGCACACTGGTTTTGGCCCGCGGGTTGTACAGTATTGTGCACATCTTGCTTTGTCTTTGGAACAGACATTGATTCTCTTGATTTGCCCCACGAAGTACATAGTATTTCCGATTCTTCATACTGTCTATACGCCTCCGCGCATTAGTGGGAGGAAGAACTCATGTAGCCATCAATGGCTCGTTGCGGGCGTTTGCCTCGACTGAGTCTGATCATGGCTGAACCAAATGTGCGCTCGAAAGCTGGAAGCATACTCGATCATTCCCCCTGGCTCGCTCCATAGAATTCTTTCTGCCTCACGTCTCTGAGGACACTTGTCGAGTACGGCAAGTATTTGCTGTGTTCTACCTTGCTGCCCCAGAATAAAGAAAGTGGATAAATTGGGGGGCATGTGCCATGCATATATGTCGACCCGAGCCATATCTTGAGCCGCAGTAAAAACCATGTCGATCAGCCAGCACGGGACGAGCGGAATTGGAATGGACCGAGTAGCGCGGAGCTGGCCTACCAAAATAGAACCAGCCAATGTATGCTATCGCCTGTGTGCTAGCATCAATGTGCCCACACAATGGCTGGCAGCGCCTACTTTGTGTGCTATCTATGCTAGCATCTGTATGCCAGCATAGACGTGCCAGCATAGATGTGCCAGCATAGATGTGCCAGCGTCTATGCAACCAGAGGAGCCCACACAGACGCTGGCAGCGCTTACCTAACATGCTCTCTGTTTGTCAGCATCTGTGTGCTAGCATCTGTGTGCCAGCATTCGGCTTCTCAGTAGCAGTCACCTGTTTTTCTGGTGTTGTACCCTTGGACAAGTAGTCATTGAGTTCGCGCATCGTCTTCTGGATTCACCAACGATCTGGGGTGCTGTGATGTGGATGGCAAACAGATCTGCTCGCGATATGGTGCTGCCAGAACCGCGCCCTCTAACCTCGAAACTCCGCGTCAATTACAGCGCTTGACTGTTGCAATCATCGTCGTCTCGCATGCTGCAGCTGCAGGAGGCCAACTAAGCCCCCGTCGCGAACCCGAAGATAATTGGGCAGCATGTCTCAACATTGCGGGCGTAACGCTTTTTACGACCAAGCACGAAGCGATCTACGACGCACTTTGGACTGGAGTTGTCCGCGGCACGCTTGCCACACAAGATGTCCCCCAAATACAGTACCGACTGAATGTATATCATGCATCTTTCCACACGTTCTTCTCACAATTATATGAAAAACCATCTTTCCTGTTCCACCATCATATAACTATACGAATCCAGCGATGAATTTTGCCTGCGTTACCTGCCTCCAAACATGGCCTTCATGGAGGTCTCGCGATCAGCATGTGGCTGCCAAGTCCCACCTGGCTCCTGAATTCGAATGCGACACTTGCGACCGTTATTGCAACAACCAACGAGCCATCGAACAGCACATGACTGCGCTGAACCATTGGGCGGATTCATCTTCTGACGAACCCGAGTACTACTGCGACTACGACTCTTGCTCTGAGGTTTTAGATGACGAAGATGCACTTAGGGAGCATGAAGTGAATGAACACTTTTACTGCGATCCATGCGACCGAACATTCCAAGACTCGAATAGCATCAAGATGGTTCGTTACTAAACCATAGATCACAAAATCGGCCTAACTTGTGTAGCATCGCAACAGCAGAGCGCACCGCGGCAATAACGCATCCTGCCTTTTTTGCCACAAATCATACGTGACTGCGGCCGGCATTTTTCATCACCTAGAGGAGGGAGCATGCGAAAAAGCACCATTAACTCGGCTTGGAGTTTTTCAAGCGGCCAAACAGCGTGATCCAAATGGCGTGCTCACGAAACGACTGCAAGAGTGGGCTGTGGAGGTCACTTTGGAGGCCACTACGGAATCTTGGGATCCCGTCACCAAGACTTTCAATTGCTCCCTGTGCAGCGGTCGCTTTGCAAGCCTCGAGTCGTTGAACCAACACCTCAAATCGCCCAAACACCAGCAGAGCCTCTACCACTGTCCGAAACACGGCTGCTCCAGGGAGTTTAGCACATTAGCAGCCGTCACGGAGCATTTGCAGAGTGAAAGCTGCAATTTCATGGCCTTCGAGGCTGTCCAGGAGTTTGCGGCACGAATCTTTGATCCCGGACGCATGATCACCCTTTAGACAGGCTTACGTTTGGAGAGAAGACATAGTGTCTGGTCAATATCGATTGCGAGACGGCACGGAGTGGGACATCGACGTGCTTGAGTATCGGCAAAGATAAGGAGCGGTCTTTGGACGAGGAGCTTCGAGCCATCTGGAAACTGTGTCAAACATGGAAGAGACTCTGGAAGTGGTTCTGACGAATGCTCCCACCCTTTTTTCATGCTTTCGGTCGAGTAATCGAGCTCCGTGGCGCCTTAGGTAGTAATGAGCTCCGTAAAGGGGACGATCAGTAGATGTAGATCTCGAATAAACCTAACTCCGTTTTCTGTGTACAACCTTGCGACAGATGAAATCGAGGATGTTATCACAAAGCAGAGAATCGCGTGATAGTGTCTCTGTAATATGCTTAGTTCTGTTGGGTCTTGGGAGGGTTTGTCCATGAAGCCTCTTTGGGTTGCAAGTACGTTTTTGTATCGCGGGTCACTGAGTGGATCGGCCTTCTCTTCTCTCAACCTCTGGTCGCTAGGCGTTACCGAGCTAGCAGAACCAGACACTGATTGCTTGCGACTGAGAGTTGAGGAAGACATCTTCCTCGTAAGAAGACGCTCCATGCTCCAGTTCTGCTCAAACCATTGCCGCGGCATCGGCCCCTTTGCGGCCCCGCATGCTATCCAATCGATCGTCTCTTCTTTGCGACGGCGAGCAGTCTGTCGTGATCTCTTCAAAGGGCGCTCCTTCGCGGATGAGCTGGGGGCATCTGGGTGTTGGCGTCGTTTCCGATAGCCCTCTGGATGGCGTGTGTGAGCCTCTGATGTTGCTTTCGCCAAGACTGGCGCGGCGGCCAGCGGCAGCGCCGGCTGTAAACAAGGGTTTTTCGAGATGAGATTGGAGTATTCGGATCCGTCGTGTCGTGAGATGCGATGGACACTCCTTTGACGACGGTTCTTGACACGGTTTGGGAACTGCTTGCCTGCTCATGGTCAGTTGAGCATACCTCTAGATAAGAAACGGCTGCTACCTTGACGTTGAACCACTGGAGTTGAGCGATCGTCCCTTTCAGCGCTGACTTCAATCAAGTACAGGCGATTGCAGTGAGACAGAGGCAGGATGCTTGAGATAACGATTGAAGCATAGGTGGGTGACGTGGTTGAGAAAACATGGGGTCGAAGAAGCAAGACAGTAATGGCAATTCGTACCCGTCAAACTCCTCTTCTAGGTATGGTAGAGACCTGATAGATCTGGTTAATAGACAGAAGCAGTTGGGGAGGAGAATGGCGAGCGAAAAGAGGGACAGTGGCCAAGATACCAGAAAAGACCAAGCGATACTTCTATCGATGTAGCTGAGGTGCAGGATTCTGGCGCCATCATCTGCCCGATGCAAAGTACTGCCCATAACGCACCAATCGGATTGGCAGTACAATCCCGCGAGCCAGGTGGCAGCAAGGGTTACCTTCGATTGATTGTTCGGCGGCTAGCCGGCCCACCTTCAGAACTCCCTCTTTCGCACGAAGTCAATGTAGAACAATTGACTCTCGTCATCACCAAGACCGTACCATCCTCACCGTATTACTGTGGTCTGGATATCAACAAATCCAGATCTGCAATCGAGGAGATTAATCACGAAAAGCGGGAACTTTCGAGATGCTTGAGGTGCTTAAGCGCTGGAGGAGCACAAAGGTTGAATCCCCCCTTGCGCAACCTTCATGCAAAAGAAACGATCAGTACTCCGTATGTATGGCATCCCGCCAATTTGTACTCCGTAGAGGTATCACTTGCGGGGTAATGCCCACACGACCTCCGCGGCACAACTAGGCTGGGCGCGGCGCTAAGTGCGCCAACCAAAGCGTGGCCTATTGCAGAAAAGGGGCCCGAGTTCGAACAGAAATTCACTGCTTATCCATTGACTTCCCCGGCCACAATGTATGTCGGCGAGGCGGCCAATGCAAGCAGATGCGGTACTATGTTGGCAACGTTTTCCAAGCATGGCGGACCCTTTAAGCATCACCACATCTGTGCTTGCGCTACTCACGACAGCCGCTCAGTCTGTAAAGTTGCTTGTCGAGACTGTCAATCGCTACAAAGGTCGGGATAGAACCCTGTCTCGACTACAGGCAGAGCTCGAGGCCTTCTTACGGATCCTAGATGCGCTACACAAGGTCGTCGAAACAGAATCCGCCATGATGGTCCTTCTTAAAGACCCTATTCTCCGATGCAGCCAGTTATGTAACGACTTCGAGAAAGCCATGAAGGTGTTCAGCGGGAAGTCTAAAGTGGGCTTCCGAGATTGGGCAAAAATGGAGTTCATGCGGGGCGACATCAACGATTTCTTGGACGCTTTGTCGGGTTACAAAGAAACGATCTCGATAGGTCTCGGCACAATCACCATGTTGGTTACCCATCCTGCCGATTTGCGTCAACTCGAGTCTCATTTTGCAGTGGCTTACATCATGTTAGGCAGACATCTAAAGCTTCCCAGAAAGTCCTCGAGGAATACAACGAGATGATCATGGATACCATCTATCGCCTCAACGTTCGACTGCAGCGTATCGACGAAAAGATGGACGGGTTGACTACGGAAGTTGCAGGCAGCGTGGATGCCTCGGGCATGACCACAGACCTGGAGGATGAGCGGGTTGTGACAGAGCGATGCCTGCGAATCTGTGAGGATGCGCAGCACTATCTTGAGACCTTGGCAAGCGATGGGGACCTTCTGAAGCATCAACTGGCCCCGACCAATAGTGGAAACGACCAGATGCGATTTGAAGCACAGCTGATGATACGCCGAACACTGGACGAAAACCGGGATAACTTCTCGGAAACCATCGGTCGGTTGCATGAACGCTTAGCGTCCCTGCCTCGGAACGGGACAAGTCAAGATGAAAGCGAGAAATCACGGTTGGAGGAGGACCTCAAGGCTTCGAAGAAGTGTCTAGAGGTCTGTAAAGCGGCCTCTGAGACAGTTGCCCAGCAGAGAATATATCGGGTTGGTGAGTTAATCGCAGACGTCGAAAGCGACCAAGTAGTTATCACCACCTTGGCAGACCTCTTTGACGTCAAGAAGGCATCATCTACGAACGGCTCAGCGCAGTGGATCGGCTCATTTACGGACGAAACTGCTCGACAGATATCCATAGATCGTTATCGCAGTCGTTTTGGGGCAATGTCTAGTACTGAGATAGGTACCACCACTCAGGTTCCGCCGGATTCATGGACGGCCAAAGATCACACTGCGCGTCGGGCCCATACTGACAGACAACCATCTGCGCGGGAAGCGACGGGGAGGAGGCCGACTCCAAACGAAGTCAGGAGGCGTGCTTCTGGAGCCGATGGGAAATGGCCGGCCAACGACGAGGTGTGAATAAGCGCAAGGCGCACCTGTGGATTATGGCCACCGTAGTCAACAGTGGCACTGTCATAGGTGACTGTGTCGTAGGATTGTTCCTATGAGATTCAGAAGTTGTCGTATGGAACGAAAAAAGCATACATATGAAAATGTCCCACATCTAAGACTCTAGTACATAGCGTGACTTATGCGAAGGAGAAAGTTATCGCCAGCTCGAAGTAGGAGACCTAGCTTGGGTGAAGCTTAGAATCGTGACACCCTCGACACCACCCTGGCACGCGATCCCGTGATACTGGGGACGAAAAAGCAAGACAGTACCGGAACTTCAAGGTGCGGAAAGCATACCAATAATAAAACAGTACCCAAAGCTGCCGTACTGGTATGCTACCTGAAATGTTTGTACCAGTATGCTGTTCATACCAGTATGCTATTCATACCAGTATGGCAATTCGGTGCCTTAAAATTATTGTACTGGTATGCTGTTCGTACTGGTATGCTAATCGTACCGGTATGTTATTCGTACCAGTATGGCAATTCGTGCAACATAATCGTACTAGTATGGCTATCCAAGGACCTCAACTCTTCGTACCAGTGTGATATTCGTGGTAGTTCAGTGTTCGTAGTGGTACGGTAGGCACACTGTTATGCCAAAAATATCGGTGTACCGCTGACCCAACACGGGCTTCGTTCCAGGGTGGTGTCCAAGGTATGGACCAAGCACTTTTCCAGCAGCGCCTTTTTTCCTTCATGCTATGTATATCTTATCACCTTGTGCCTCAATTTTATCTACCTACGAAGCCTGGATCTGCTCCCATATGGATTTTGTGCTAACTTGCGCAGGAGACTTCGCGTACGCAGGAGTCTGCTGAGGCAGGCTCGCTGTTGGGAAGTACGGGAGGGGTTTCGGGTAATAGCGTGATCGGCGCTATGGATGGACCAGCTCCCTCACTATTCCTGATATGTTTCATCAGTGTGTTCACCTTGCAGGAGCACTGTAGAGGCAAGAGCACAGCACTCCAAGAACGTCCTCGTCTACGTCTGTGAAAAACGTATTGGAACGATACAGACCCACAACAGTTCAAAGTGAAAGATGAGGGGAAGCTGATGCCTTTACGATGATATTACCGGTAGCAGTGAGAGGGTCGCAGCATTTCGACGTGTCGTCGGTCCAGTGGCCTTCTTCATCGCGATCAGCGATCAGGCACTTTACCTATCCGCGGGACTAGAGGCTGCAGATTTAGCGTATGCGAGCAGTCACTGTCCACAGAAGCTTCGAGAAGGAGCTTGTAGGCCTAAAGTGCTAAAAGTGCTGGGTTAGCTCGTTTATGGCGCGCAGCGCTGTAAACCAACTACTGAGGTAACCAAGCTAAAAATAAACCATGGCTATTCTTGGCTTCCCCTGTTCAGGTGTGGCCCATAGGCCAAGACCTGCGCCGACATAGGTCATCTGGTGGAAAACGGCGACAGTGACGGCCATTTTAGGCCCAAGATCCAAGATGCTAACATTGTTGAACATTGTTCACGTTCTGTTTTAGAAGTATTTAAGCATAGACTGTCAGGCGATAACCACTCTCGCGAAAGCAATGCTCCGGAAGCCGAACATGGCACCTCAGAGTCAGCGTCTCGCCAAGAAGCGAGACAGGTCTGGTGAGAACTTTACCAAGGCAACGAAGAGTCTATTAGCACGATGCGACCGCCTAAGAGAGCGATATAAAGCCGACATTTACATTCAAGTGCGTAGGATGCACAGACACTACACGTATACTTCATCTAATGAGCCGTCCTGGCCCAAGACGAAGGCGGAGATGGTGAGTACTGCTGCAGAGCAATCGCCCAATGTTAACATTGTGAAGGAAAGGATGTACCCCGTCCCCGTGACAAGAACACCCCAAGATTTTGATAGTAAGCGAAATCGCGTATCGAGCATCCATACACTACAGGAAAGCGCAGCAGAAGAAAAGACGCCTCATGTTGCAGTGAGGGAATCGTCACACGTAGATTGTCGTAATGTTCTGGCTCTGAATCATGAAGAAGATGCATATCCGTGTGACAAGCCAGTAGGGCAGGAGACGATGTCTCCAGGAGAGCACAGCACGCGCTGCATGGAGAACCATTCAGAAGAAGTGATAGCTCAAAAGATGGATGTGGCAAAACTAGCTAGCTAAATCCAAAGCGTCTCCACAATCAATTGCCGCCCCCATTCGTGGAAGCCTCCCAAGTGATCAATCCGAAGGCCTGCCTGGATTCCAGTAGCGCTGTTGAATCCTCAGAGACATCACACTTGGCAACGGGCCCATGCTATCCCGACAGCAGGGGTCAAACGGCCCTCATCACCTGTTTCCAGAGGTGGGAGACAAAGGCGCCACTCCTGACAACGACAGCCAATATGGAGCTAGGGTAGATCGCTTTGGATGGCGCGTTTGGTTCGCCCGAGCAAGCCCATTCTGGCACGCTGGCTTCGGTACCTGCTGCGCTTGGAGCTGATTCCGATGCTAGTCGGAAGCGCTTTACAGCACAGACATAAGCCATAGACACCCGTCGTTGCTTGCTAAGATCAAATTCAACCAGCAGAAAGTGGCTGTAAGTAGGTAGCCTCAAGTAGCTTTGTGCGAGACCCTTGCACTATCCTTAGAGCTAGGCCTAACACGACATGCTGAATGCCCCAACGAGGTGGACTCCTTTGGTTCCTTGCGCATGGGTTCCGATGGGCAAAGTGTACATTATCGACTGGCTGCGACCCGAATCGATTCTCCAGAAATGACTTTTGCTTGGAATGGACGAACACCGAGGCGTCGCCATTGAACCATGAACCACATGTCCGAGATGGATCTCTTAACTTATCGTTAGCCGCACGGGGACGATGCTCCATCCAGTTTCCACCATCACCATCTGGAGAGATTTGTGGATGTGTCCTAGTCGGATTACTGTACATCTGAGTCTCACACAAAGTCAACGACGATATTGGCCTCCGCTTGTATCAAAGCCTCCCTAGGTACTTCTGGTCTCCCATCCAGACGGTAATCAGCGTAAAGAGGACGGTCAAAGTGCACATGCTGCGTAGCTGTAATCAAGAACAGCCGCAATAACTTGAGTGCTTGCAGGAAGTGACGTCCAGAACCAACGAGCTTTGATGGGGGATCGAGCAATGCGTTCAGACGAACGGCAAAGCATCTCACAACGCACGAATCAGCGCCTAAGCTTACGTTCCTCGAGCCTGATTACCGAGTCCTCCCTTACAACTCACGAGCTAACGCAGTCATAATCAGCTGATAGGAAGATCAATGAACGCTTCTAGTTTCCATACAGGTCAGGCCACTCTCGTAGGGAACCTGCTCAAGCAGACTCCCGCGTGTGCGGCTTTGCTTGCGCAGATTGCTGCCTATGCGGTTGTGCGCTTAAGCGCATTCCTGCGCAGGCGACTTTGCTTGAGCTCGTTTTCACGTGGGCGGCTCTGCTTGAGCGGAATCCTGCGCAAGCAGCTTTGCCTGGGCGGCAGTTCTGCGCGAGCAGGCATGCCGAGGCAGTCTTCTGCGTACGCAGCTAATCTACTGACAGATTTCATCAGGGTCACGCCTGCCCGAGTTGAGGCAGCCACAGCGCAAGCTCCCCACTCGACCCGAATTTGGGGCAGAAGTCCATCGCGATGAAGGGTAGTGAGCACTAACGAAACCGTCTGGAAAGCGACCCGACGCAGATTGTCTAGTTTCGGGGCCGCTTTGGGGTGTGGAGAAATGCTCCACGGTCTCCTCAGAATGGGAAAAGGACCCATCGCGGGGCTGCAGTAACCATGTCAGCTACAAGGTCCATCATTGCTGGAAACTCGCGGTTGAATTGGGTACGTACGAGGTCCGTTTTCTCGCCCGTTTTCACGCCCGTGAACGCACTGGCGGAGGTCTATGTTCACGTCGTGGTATCTGGTTTGTCTGAAGATGCTATCTAGGCGGTGATGTGGTTGCTGTGCGTCACTCTACGAACTAATCGTGGGCCGACTCGCTCGGCTCTCGTTTGACTCTTCTCAATCGTGAGGAAGCAGTTTGCGTCGGGGAAGCGCTCCGGCACGTCACCTATGGCCCTGATCCGTCGGGGGTATGCCAAACTATAACCGGTGTAACGAATCACAGCACCAGCAGCCCGAGGCTTCTGAGGCCTTACAGAGGCGGCCAGGCTTGCACTGGGTTTTGGTTGCAGATGTAGGCTGCACAGGCCATTTTTCTGTGGCTCGTTGGCCAAGGCGGCCGCCGTTGCCAAGGTCGAAACTTTTGGGCCTGGCCTTGGCGAGGTTTCCAAGTATTGAAAAACGGGCGCTTCTGCCTAGACAGGCGTGCATGGCGCAAACAACAGTCTTGCAAAAAATAGACAAGCGTTGAGGCAGCAATAGCGAAAGCCGGCGAGTGATGCGACCCACGGCAGCACACTGACTCCTCTTCCACAACAGCGAGCGGGAATCGAGGCGACGTGCGCTCCTTCCGAAGCCGAAGGCGATAGGTTTGCTGACTATGGTCAGCTCGCCTGTGCGTGGATGTGTTTGAACTTATCTCTGAGGAGAAGCAGCGTGCGAGTTGACGACAGGATGATTTGTTTGATTTGCACAATGTGGGCCGAGATGCTTGGGTAGCCGTAACCCAGTCCGCGCTGGAGGGCATCGGAGCCGGCGCAATGCCCTCATCTTGCGTTGATCCGTCTGGTCCTCTTTTCTGAACCGGTTTTGAACCATACATTCCCGGACGATGGAAATGCGCTCGAGGGACACGATTGTGTTTCCCTAAGTAAGGGCATTGAGCTGTGGCTCGCAGTTTAGATTGGCATCTTGAAGTTCGTTGTCTCTGACGCTAAACCCATGGTATTGGCTCGCGTCCCGACACCCTGATTTGCATCTCGTATCGAACGTCAACTTTCGATGAATTATCAAACGGCAGCCATCGCGCCATGTTGACAGCCATCTAAATATTAAATTCATGGTATCGTTCTTGTCGCCGACTGATGCGGCCACCACACACGCCCCCAGCCGCCAAGGCTAGAAAGCAACCATTTGAAAGCAAGGTCGACCTGGTCGGCATCCTGTACTATTAACGGAAATTCCCTTCCCGATGGAAATACAGAAGAAGATCATAGGGAAGTGAGCCTAGGCTCTTGATGGTTGTCTTGGCTTCTTCATCATCTAACAGGTTCTCATGTACCGCACTCCTGATCAATCACCTTTGAACTGACAACAAACTTTTGGCATTCTAGTGTTCCGGAAACCGACCAGAATGTTCGCGATGTTCTATTCACAAAGTTCATTGCCAATGGGACACAAAGCCCGGGACGACGCGCCGGCAGGCTATTTTCATCCGGCTTGAAGAGCTGCGAATGCAGAACCATGACCTTCTTGAGCTGACAAGAGACCTCTGTTCACGGCCTGAATCAGAGGCCACTGAGATTTTTCACCGTCTACGGGCGACAGGCGACGCATTTTATGTCCTGAATCTTGTCCGTACGGCAGACCTTCTGTCACAATTTCGGCACAGCACGACGAGTAACTCTATGGCTAGGGCTACAGGCACCTCTTGGCCGGGCGCTTGCGGAGCCATTATCGACCAGGCAGTCACAAAAGGGTCCTCTAAGAAAGAAATGTAACCCAGAGCCCTTTACGAGCGGCCAAGTGTGTAATGACGAGGAGCTAACGGATTGAAAAGATCGCTCAGCAAATGATGGCCAAACATAAGGGCAATACCTTTCTTCGCAAGAAGGTCCACTTCCAGCCGAAACAAGGTTGCGGATAGGTTGCAAACAGAAGGCAGGACTGCATTTACTCGGTGGAGAGAGGCAACACAAATTTGAACAAGATCGTCTAGGCTTGCAATGGGAAGCAGTCTGCGCGACAGCCTCTTGTTTTTTTTATACGTCATAGACGGCTTGTATTGTCTTGGGGCCCGTCTTCGGTCGCGCGAACAGTCTCCGAACCCGTCTCAATTGAATACGTAGAGGCTGTGGGGGCGATCACTGACTTTCGATATCTTGTCGTGTCATTTAAAATCTCGCTCAAAATGGCCAGATCCGCTGAAATAGAGACCGACTCGCATTCTGATTTATACCAGATGCCAAGCTTCTCATAATCTGGCCAGCATAGCTGATTGGTTCGTACTCCACTGTTTGGAGGATTCTTCGACGTTGTTGAGTCGAGCGCCGTTGAAGTGTTTCGAAACACGCTACGTGGCACTAACATGATCCACCGCGTGGCAACTCTACATACGTCCTGACGCGAAGGACGCGAAGCCAGATCTAACGTCCATCATCGTCGCGAGGAAGGCAACAGAAGCGGGCGACGATCGACCATCGCGAAGGCTTCGGAAACCATCTAAGACGATCCGGTTGAACCAGGGCAGCGAGGAAAGCAGCGGGGATGCGATCAATCGGGCGATCGAGAGTGCCATGTGTGGCAGGCGGCTGACCGCCGCCCGCGGTAAGGTCCTGTTTGATGCGTGGAAGAAGTGGGAAGCGCGGAATAAGGAGGCCTACGTAGAACTTCGCGAAGCAATGGTGGAGCTGCGATCGATTAGGGACGAGCTGCAGACTGCCAGAGGAGAGCTACAATGTGTCATATGCGGGTTTCGCCCAAAGTGGCCTGGGCTCGCAAGAACGCCACTCGAGGGCAGTTACGCCGGGCAACGCGACGCTGCCGAGCCGCAGCAAAGAAAAGACAGAAGCACGGAGCTTAGCCCGACAACGCAGCAGCATATGCGAACAAGATCGGTGCAGTAGTTCTACTGGGAAACCAAGCAAGCAAGCTGTATGACGGACTGACCTGAAAAGCAGCCAGCATTCCAGCGCAACTGCGCACCGGCGCAATGGCGAGGCTAAATTGGTACCTGCACCAGATCGGTGCAACTGCCTTGGCGCAACGCGCCTGCGAACAAGCGGCAGAAACGGTGGAGCATTTCCCCTTCCGTTGCATGCAGTGGACGGCACTACAAGGTTGAAATGCCAGAGACGGCTTGGTCGTGGCGGCTCTCAGCCTCGCTCTTGGTAGAGTCAGCTACATTCCTACTAAAGATAGCCAGGGTCGGATGGCCTGAGGACAAGTTTGGAAGGCACGAGGACGCGCATGGACGGCATGAGGACAACAGTGACGGATGGCCTGAGAAGTTCTTTTGGAGCCTTCACGCACAAGCTCGGACGCTGAATTATCAATGGCGTAAACTCGATTATGTCAATCTATACATCATTCCTAAACCGGAATTTTCCCCCGCTTATCATCCGTAAGGTAAAGGCAGCCGCGGCCTTTTCGCACAATTTCTCCGTAGCATTTTTCCGCCAACAGCGGGTAGCCCATCGGTGAGAAAGGTAGTACCCGGTATTGTACCATTAATTGTTGAATGATTCTTTCGAATCGATTAGGCCCATTTTCGTCGTCAAGATTGATGTCTACACAGCGCTCATCACAATTGATTCCCCCTTGAGTGATCTGCAGTTTAACCCGCCGCGTTCTTGTATTCGTGGAATCAAGTGTGACCGTTGAATCTGCCTGCCGTGTGGCCGCATGATCCCGTGACTCATTTGTCCGGTGGTTCCGGACATGTTGGTGATTCTCACTGTGGCTTGGCTCTGCTCTGACTCCACCGGCAAGATAGGTTACATCGTCGTGAAAAATGGCTTTGTAGATCGATCGAAGAAGAAACAAACTCGTGACTTCCTTCTTCTTTACGAGTGGCTGTTGGTCGAGGATCTCAACGACGAGATTCGGGCGGTCCATCGAATACGCTTCAGAATCAAGCCATGGGCGCACATGCATCTTCGCTGTGGTTACATTGGTTGTAAAAGCGCTGTAAGCTTGTCTTTTTGGCACATGTCGGTGTTCGGAAAATGCTTGGGCAATTTGACTAATGATGGTCTCGTCTGCAACGGAGTTGAAATCCTGATCCTGCGAAGACCGGACCAATGCCATTGCCTGCCTTGCTATCTCCCGATGAGGAGAAAGCGCTTTGAGAGAACGAATCTCATCATTGTCAAAGCCCAGTTCAATAGCCAGATTCGCAAATCTTGGTCAGAGGCTAGGGTCGGTACAAATCGAGTGAAATTCCCTCATCGTGAATAGCCATAGACGCCTCATGGCAAGTTGAAACCGAGCCTCAAGGTTATCGAATTCATCCAGGGGCAGCTGTGCTGACTGTGCTGGCAGGGACAGTGGCTTGAAGCTCTGAAGAAGCATCCTCCGAACAGTCGGGCCCCTTCTCTTCATAGGGACTAGATGCTTCATGCTATTGCCGCACCGTTCGAGATATCCGAAATCTTTGAAAAAGGTTGACAGAGATGGGAATGGGAAATCGCACGAGCACAGCGTCGCAAATACTGCTTGCCGCTCGGCATGGCCGAAACTGGCGAAGATGTCGCCTTTGAGAATGACGCCACGGAGCGCTCGCTCATCTGACGCAGAAAATCTCGGACACCTAAGCTGAACAGCTTCGACAGTAATCCAGTCGATCTTCTCTAATTCACTTTCGTTGCCCCCGGCGAGTTGCAGCCAAGTATCATAGATGAAGTGGAGGTAACTCAGTAATTCCTACATACGTGGTCAGTGTATTTCTTCAAGAGGAACAGGAGGGCTCGGTACGAACCTCGTCGCATCTCAGGCTGATGAGTTTGTGCAGGGTTCCTACCACAAGTCCCGGCCACATTCCGGGAATGCGCGACAATCTATGAAATGCAGCATGAAAGCCCCGGTGATCCAGAACCTGTCTTATACATCGCTTTTTGTGGGCGGTGAGTGCAAATCCTGAACGAGCGTCGGGGCGATCCGCCAGGTTCACTTCACGTTGCAAGGCTTTGAAGAAAAATTCCGCTTCAGCGGAGCAACTTCCTCGATAAGCATGCGGTTCCTCCATGGTCGTAGAATGCGTGCCAAAAAGAAGACGAACTATGTGTGATTTACTGTGTGATTTCTCTACGAAATGAGTCGTGTTGACTGAGCCTGCTCTTAAGTATCTGATGCCCTGCGTCCTCGAGGCCATGCAGAGCCTGTTCACGCTTTTGCAAAATTTCCCGCGCGGCAACCGAGTTTGAAGCCATTTCGGGCCCAGGGGATATCATCTCCTGGTGCCTACGCCGCTTTCAAAGCATCATCTGGCGCGATAGGGTACTGACTCGAGGACTCACGCCCCGGGTTGATTGTTTGCTTGTTTGCTTGTTTGCTTGTTTGCTTGTTTGCTTGTTTGCTTGTTTGCTTGTTTGCTTGTTTGCTTGTTTGCTTGTTTGCTTGTTTGCTTGTTTGCTTGTTTGCTTGACTGATTGTTAATCGGTTTTGGCTGCTCTTATCCACAGATATGCCCGGAAAGCAAGGTTTGGCCAACAGCCGACGCGTCCACAACGAACCGCGACACTCCACTCCGCCGTGTTATTGAATCAAGGCCAGCTGTTTCCAAATTCCTCGCTGCACTGTTTTCCCTCTATGCTGATTCTCTCTGTTGAAGAGTGTCTTCCTGCTGCATTGCTTTTCTCCCATCCTCGTCTCTGTATTCCCTCTTTCGCGTCTTCCTGCTTCGGCTCTGATGGTGTTTGCCACCATGTCTGGTCCAGCGTACCTACAGTCTCCCCCCAGCGCTCGGCTTCGCTTGGTTCTCTTGTCCGCATCCTCTCAGACTCGCATGTACCGTATCTCAGTTGAACTATGGATCTTTTTGCTGCTTCCTGCCGGATTCCCTCGTGGCTTGATGTTTCCATCTTTCGACCACCACTGCCGTCTACCGCCTGGGGTCGGGCTCGATCCGCGAAAAACGATGCTTCAATCGCGCCGATCCGTCCGATTACTGAGTATGAAAGCTTGTGCACAGATTCCGCAGACATTGTCGTGCGTTGGGGGGACGACACTCCTTCTCCGCAGAAGGGAGGGGGGAGGGGAGGGGGCGACAGGTGACCGATCTATCTGTAATCTGTAGTATTTTGCGGCACCGATCGTAGCATGCCTGATGTCTGGGCTTCGAGAGGAAGCCGGAGCAGAGGACCATAGTCGATAGGCCAAGGACCCTCAATGGCAAATCAAGACTCTCCGAGTTGCCACAACAATCAGCTGCTTGGCGGCGGCTATGTGCAGGAGTATGATTACGGCGGGATCCACCTCAGCCAACAGAGCCGCCGCTTGGGGTTTGGGAATGTAACATCATTACAGGTCAACTGTACTAACGTGACGCCAATTACTTCGTCGGTATGAAGGTTGTCGTGGATGATGTCGGGCAGATCACCAACCTCTCATTGAGAGGACTCCAACAAAACTAGACTGGTCTATTGAGAATCATCAGCGTGGCTGACTGAAATGCCACATGGCTTCGAACTATCCTTGTGCACACTGGTTCAGCTTATTGAACGTTTCTCACGACGCGAATTTTACGTTCGTCCAGCGAGCCCCCGCGCCGTACGGTCAGCAGATATTCGACGTGAGATGCGTATGCTGCGCCTGACGTCGCGAAGAACCGCTGGAGAAGTCTTGTCCCGACGCGACGGATCTATCGTTGCCTGCTCCCATCGAGAGCCCAATATTTCGCCTCTTGTCTCTACTCGCCTCGGATCTAAGACCGTGGATGTGAGCCTGTCACTAGAAATCGATCCACAAGTTGGACGAGCCGGCGCCGTTTTCTTGTTCAGCCTTCGTCGTTTCCGCCGAACTTCACTCTCCAAAGGCGACTCGTCGGTCTGAGGACCCCGCTTCGCGCTTCTCCCACTACGCCCGTTGGCGGGGCGTTCCGCTTGTGCCATCATCTCGGAAGTGACTAATGGCACTTGGTCCTCTACCCATCGGACGAGTTCGGTTTGTCGGGCGTCATTCTTACGCGCATCGACATACTCCGATGTGGCGTGAATGAATCTTGTAATGTGATCGTTCCTAGCCCGAACGTCACGCACTCGTTTCTCTGCGTCCAAGATGCCTTTCGTGCTGTTTTGCAACATCGCTACTCGTCTCTGTTTGGGAATCTTTATTCGGTCCGGATGTTCTTGGGTTAGGGTAAAGACATCCCGGGCCCGTGCCTTGGCCTTCTCCATGTTCTTTTGAGTCTGTTCCTCCTCCGATCCACGTTCCATCGGCGACTCCAACGTCCGCAAGAACTCCTCCGTCTCGTGCGGCCTAAGTATGTCCAAGGTCACAAATTCTTGCCAAGCTTTGTCGTAGGCTGCCTGGAGGAGTTCGATAGTATTCCGATATTGGTCGAGCCACCAGTATTCGTAGTTGAGGTACTCGATCCACGTTGTCAGCTTGTCTTGCCTCCCAGAATCAACATCCAAATCAAACCGCTGCGAGAAACCATGTGATGACAGACGACGCTTCGCAGCAACAACATAGTCCTCAAAACCTTTGCAGCCGTGCTCCCTACACAAGTATCGCTGTCGTCTGCGCAGCGACTGGTGCAGTTCCCATTCGTCTTGGAGGCACGCTGGGTTCTTCTCAATCTCGGCTATCCTCCTCAGACCCGCCTCCTTAGTGTATTCGGTCTTTGCGAAATGTTTCTCTTTCTCGATATATGCAAGAAAGCCACCGTCGTCGTCTTGTCGACCTCGGTTGTCATTCTGCTATTTGCCGAAGTTTTGCCACCTGGAAAGCTGCCTCTGAAATACAGTCTCGGGGCGATTTCCAGTAGAGGTGTTCAACCAGGGCCGCAGCATGTCGACAAACGCGCTTAGGTCATTAAGAACAACTTCAATCAGGTCTATTGCATATAGCGGCCTTCCGCCAGCCCTGACCAGACTTTGATGTGATTCTCTTTCGTATCTTGTTTTCTCGGCCTCGGAATCAAGGACGGGGCTTAGACATTCGGAATCGTGGGCGAATCGTACATCGCACGGCGGCACGCCGCCAGCGAAGGCTTGATGCAGGCGGGCATCAAGCAAGTCCAAATCAAGGGAGCGGGAAAACGTCGTCGGGCTTCGCGCGAGCGCTTTTTCCTGGGTCCTACGTCAATTAGCAGTGATTCCAGAGACGTGTGGCTAAACTAACCACAACTTACTTCAGCCTCTCACCGAGACGAAGCCGGTCAGCAACGGTGAGCGTTTCCCAATCGTCCACGGGCAGCTCGTAGTTTCCACCCGGGATGTAGTGGCGTGCCATGAAATTGCGGAGCTGTTCATCGTTCATATTGCACAGAGCATCGGCAGTAACCACCACCATCGTGCTGCCGTGGTCCATCGTGTTCGTAAAACACAGCGTTTGTTGGTGATGAGGGAGAAGATGGAGTGACGGAGAGGCGCATTGATGTGACGCGGACGCGGCTCGCTACAGATTCCGGTCGTCACGTAAATGAGTCAGCTACACAAATGCGGGGGTAAATCTTGCTCATCGGGGTACTTCGCTAGACCCCATTTCCCTGCAACACTACTGGTACCCCTGTGAGGACGACGACCTGGTCTACGGACCAATGGCATGAAGTGTTAGGAGCGCGGAACCTCACTCCTCTCTCGATGTATGTCTTATAAGACAGACCAAAGGTCGTTCTTGCACTTTGCAGGAATGCATTATTGCACCTTCGTACTGCAGTCATCTCCAACCATCATGGACGGAACGGATATTATCGCGCACTTGTACCCATCTGCAAACATTGGAGAGAGGACTACCAAAGCCATCAAAGCAAGTGACAGAATCTAGGATACCCTCGCTTAGGTGAAACTCACTTCATACAGTCATTACTCAGTTAACCACATAGTCGGGCCAGGATTGCCCTACAAGGGATAGATGCCACTCGTTTATATAGATCTACTGCAGGCCCAGCAGATCACTCTAAGAAATACAACCATACTTATCCCCATCCATTATGCCACTGCTGACCATACTGAAGATCTGTCACTTAGTTTGTAGACAGGAGGGCTTTCCACGCGTTGACGGCTGAACGGCTGGGCGCGGCTATTTCGATGACTTCTTTGCTTGTGGTTGACGCCGGGCACTTGCCTTCCCACAGAGTAACCGGAGCAGCCTTGATTGACGAGATTACGTTTTTGGACTCTTTTGTTGCCAATACCATGGCGTCCACAAGAGACGTATCCCTAAACTCGACGGTGTCTACTAGCTCACCAATCGCCTCCTCCACCCACTGAACAATGTCTCGACCAGTCACATCCGTAGGTCCGTTCAGAACATACTTCGCCCCGTTATGCAGAGAAGGATCTTGATACCATAGCAGATGAGCAGCGAAAGTGCCAATGTCGTCAGTGTCTATCGCGCCTACGGGTGCGTCCTTGTCGGCGATGAGCTTTAAGGTTCCCTGTTTCTTCGTCTGACGGTATTCTTTGACGAACTCAACCGCACTGTATAGGTAGCCCGAGAAGAAAATGTTTGGTTGTAAGGATGTCCACTTGAGTTCTTTAAATTCCGGCGAACTCAACATGGCCTCAATAGCCCAATGAGTCCGTGGGTGGTAGGCCTCGGAGTCTGGACGGACGTTGGCAGCCGTTGTGGAGATGCGCACGACATACCGTACGCCGGCCTTCAGTGCGGCCTGATGGAAGGTCGATTCCTCGGCGAATTGGTTCGGATTATTGTGTGATGCGATGAAGGCCTTGATAACGTTCTGTTCGCGGAGCCAAGAGGCGTTGATATCGACCCAGTTCTTCTCGATCATTGTGACAGTGGGGAGACTTGCGAGGTGCTGGGCTGTCGACGAATCGATGGAACGTGTAAGAGCAAGGATGCGGGTATTAGGCGAAGCATCGCTATTATTCAGAAAACGGGAGAGAGTCTCAACGACGCTTCGGCCGGTATTCCCCGTCGCGCCGGCGATGAGAATTGTAGGAGTCATGATAATTGTGAACCAAACTTCCAATATTCGTAATCCTCAAAATTTGCTAGAAAAGAATATAAAGTGAACGCCTTGTCTTGTCCTTTGTATCGATATTTGTATTTTATGTTGCCACGACACCTGTTCATCATCCCACGGCCTTCATATTCATGTTATTGCAAAAGGTTCTTGCGGAGATCTGCGCCGCTGCGGAGTTTGCGGAAATCCTACCGGGGCGTACACAATCCGCCGTTTGTAAAAACCAGACTTTGTCACTGGTCCGCAACTAATTAGTAAGCTCTGAAACGTTATGCTAGCGTCGTGATAGCATCTATCACCCGAGGTCGCGCCTCTCCATAATTCTGATTGATAATCTCTAAAGTCAACCAATCGGTGGTGGCTATGGCAAGCTATAAAGGCCACTGTTGCAAAACCCCAATTCTAATGCAGAATTCCCTAATTGGGCTAGCGTCTTCTTGTACGAGTCCCGCAGTATATCGGTCTTTGTACCTATGCGCAGGTTTGAGTTTATGGGCCAACGAACCCTTTCTGGATAGCAATGAGCCCGGTGCTGATCAGCAACATTCATTCCAGTTCAATACACAATCGAGCAATGCAGAATCGGACGGCAGATGATGCATCGGGAAGCGACTTAACTACATCATCCTCATCTTCTCCCGCTGCTACTATTGTACCCTTTTCTACATCGTTCATGTGACAGGGACAGAAGTCACGTGCAGATGGACACCAAATTTGTAGGCCTACACGTGGCGGGTTGAATCAGCCAACTGGGCACCTTCTGGATGGAAACCTGCCCGCTGCGGCGTGATATGTCGTGAACCCTCCTCGTTCTGCTGTATACTATGAGGAGTTCTTACTCTTGTGGCGTAACGGGGCGGGCGTGAGGGTCCGCCACAGCCCTGAGCCCTACGGGAGCCCCTGCCTCCAACACCTAACTTCACCCGCTAACCCCGCTACCCAATCATCGTATCTGATGTAGCGTCATTAGTGCAGCTAGCGACTGTTTCTGGTCTGATGGGTAAGTTTAACTCCGGGCCATGTATTTGTCAGCCAACGGGGCCGCTGCCCACAAATACATGGCCCGGAGTTGAACTTAGCGGGCGGACTTAGTGGGCGGACTTTACAGATGTATCGAGATGGTTTTTGATCAATAATCCTGTATGTTTTACTATCGTACTAACGTCACAGGTGGATTCCATGACCTTGTGGAAAGGAGGGCTCTAAGTAACTTAACAGGGCGACCTTGTGCCAGGGCTTTTGTAACAAGAGGTAAGGAGTATTAGTCATAAAAATTCGTGTGCCTCTGATATTTGGCTCTATACTTTAGGAGACCCCATGGTTGTGTAGCACTAATCTGCTTTTATAGGTAGACAAAGGATAAAGGCGTGCGAACGAAGCTGCAGAACCCTGGGCTGTTTAGTAATTTTACTTCGGGGCATCATGCTCTTTTCGCAAAATTCAGCCTTAGTCACGGAGATATGTCTTTTGCATTAACCCGATGAGCAGAAGTGTTCTGAAACTCCGCCCATTCGCGGATCTTAGAGTGGAATTAATCAGCACTGGTTGCAATTGTTCGGAGTTCTTCATTGTTACAAAGCAAGGGAGAGGGGTCTGTCTGCAATTGAGTCAGTCAACTACGTTATCATTCATCCGAAGCTTAGGTCATGAGCGCCGACCTCGATCATTAATCAAATTGTTCACCCATCATATATCTCTGTGTATGTCATTTATAAACGCTGTTATTACGAACATAATCCTAATTAACTATCATTATTCCAGTAACTCCATACTTATGAGCACACACTTACCTTGGCCTAATCCATTCTCAATTAAGCTGAAATGACTAATCTGTCAGTCTCCCCCCTCTCAGTCCCATGATAAGATGGTAAGCTGACAGTAACTGTCCAGCTTGGAACAATTTGACGAGCTTACTAGAGCAGGTCGCATTGAGGAGTCTGCTATAACGGCGGTTTTCGACCAGCTGAAACCCATCTCAGCCGAGTTTATGCTGGGTAAATGGGACGGCTTCCCCATTGACACTGGCCATCCATCACTTAATCAACTCGGAACGTTCAAATGGGCGGGAAAGGAGTTCAGATCACTAGATGATGTGGACCCTGTCCTTGTTTGGGGCAAAGATGGCGAAAAGATTTACCACTCTGAGTCTGGTCACGCTCAAGTAGGTCATCTCCTATTGTACCGCAGGCTTTCCAACGTTACAGTGTATAACAAACGAGTCATTAGGTACGTGAGATTAAGTACCGTGGTGTCGTCACTGCCGGAATGATATACGACAATTTTCCCAGCATTGACTCATTCCGATATGTCAATGACGACACTATACTCGGTGCCATGGAGAATAAGAATGTTGAGTCCAATCGACCCGTTTGGTTTTATATGAGACGTTGTAAATAAGCTATTTGTTACGGCCAGCTAGTCGTAGCGAGATATGTTAGGCTGCTCCGGCAAATTCGTTCCAGCAATTGTTTCACCTCGAGCGACCTGACTTATGCTTAACTAGAGGTAGGAGTAATATCCGCAAGGATATCCTTATCCAGAGAATCGTGCATTCATTATATGGATATCGGGTTTCGTCCCAGAGCGATTCGTTCGTCATACTCATCAATATACACATAATTACCCCTGCCTGTCTAACTGCTGCATAATATATATTAGCAGAAGTTGAGGCTGCGAGTATTAAATAAACAGCGTCATAGTCGTGGTAGCTTCCCTGAAGCTATTTTCTGTATTAGGGGAAATTGCGCAGCACGCCACTCCGAACTACCAAACAGCCTACAAGCTTGGCTTGAAAGGTAGAGGACGGACCTTGGTAATATCGGATCTTATAAGAGCGGATGTAGTAGAACTTAGGTCGCGCCAACTCTGTTGAATCCTCAACGCGTCGTTTCCTTAGGAAATATTCGAACACGAACCGGACTGGAGTCGATGGCAAGTGCGAGTAACCAGCGCAATCACGACTGGCAGTTGCTGGTTAGTTGTTAGTTAGGTGCTCAGGTGAATATGTATGGCTAGTCACTGTTAGCTTACGTCATATTGACTACATATCATGATGATCAATCGTCAGTGGTCTTGTCAAGAAGCCGTTTTCCGGCTTCTGTAGAGACAAACAGCAAGGTGTTTACATACCCCCTCTCTCGCCAGAATATCGGACGTCACAGTTTCGGATGACCCGATACTCAGCTGATTGAGCACAATTGCAAAACGAAAACCGATTTAGCGACCCTCTCAGGATTTTCCGATCTGGAACGGCTTGGGTGCATCGCAGGAGGCTGGGTATCCTAATCAAGACTACGCTACAGCTGTTCATGGCAGCCTGAGATAACTCATGGAACGGATCACTGAACAGCTAGCCTTTAAGGTATACGGTGGGCGATAGGGGGCACTGTTGCAAGACCCCCTTGCCATTTTCGTTTGGGGTTTAGATCATGCTCATCCAAGTCGTCCGGTACTTAGAGATGCAGTGAAAGATGTACTGCGGGATAGCAGCGGGATAGCAGCGGGATCGCACGGAGCGGGTTACCAGCAAACTCCATGCGATATATCTCACCTGAAATGTATCGAGCAGCAGTTAGACAGGCAGGGGTCATTTTGTGTATATTGATGAGTACCACGAACGAATGGCTTATGGTAAGAAACCCCATATCTATATAATGAGTGTATGACCCCCTTGTATAAGGTTACCCTTGCTAGCCTTATTCATACTTCTGGTTAAGTATGAGTCAGGTCGCTTGAGGCGAAACAATTACCGTTACGAATGTCCTGGGGCAGTCTGACAAAAGTCATGTAAAGATGGAAATTGGATGCAGTGAAGTACATCAGTTGGCTACGAAAGGGCTGCGAAATGAGAATCTGGCCAGCCGGGTCGCGTTAGGCTGTGGTTCGCATTCAGTGACCCTCCCTGCTTTCCAGCCCAGTAGGTGGCTCACTTTGGATGATTTTCTACCTTGCGGGATGGACTGGGAACTCATCTAGAATGTTCCATCCTTGCCATGGGCTCCACCCAATAGTCAGTCCGAACTAATGTAACACTGCCACCCTCACTTAAAGTGGCTATGGCCCGCCATCGGGCGCTGGCCACGTTTCATCCCCCTCTGTGCCTTGTCCCCCCGGAGCCAATGAGTGCGACCATGATTGGAGATGACTGGCTGTATGAGATCAGCAGCGATGATGAAAATGACCATCGGGGAGGCTCCGACATCTCCGAGTCCGACGGGGAACTGGATCACGGCACTTCCCCACACAGTCAGCTTCCACCTGTTCCTGGGGCGTTGCCATTCTTGGACTACCACAGATGGGCCTCAGGCCAGTCATCCGATGAACAGCCCCCGCGTTGATTGCTTTATACAATGCAATGGAAATTGACCCTGAATAGTAGGAAGGCGGTGGAACAAACCGAGCAGAACCTCGTTATAGCCCCAAGCGACTTTTGGAAGAGGTGCTCTCGTCTAAGGTCGACGGGATTGTTGCCTCGAAAAAGAAATCTTACGAGACCAGTGCGACGACAATCGTCATGTCGGTTCCCAATGATCGATCCGAAGACAAGATCACAAAGCATTTTCAAGGGCAACAGATTGATTGGCCCGTTGTGGACAGGCAACTACAAGGATGGAGCCAGCTTCTCCGCGCTGGCAAGCGTTTGAAGGTTTATGTGCAGCTGGACCATGAGGAGAGTCTGTCTACGGGCCGGCCCGCTGGACGAGGCGCTACCGCGATGGGCCTTGCAGAGCGGAGTGCACGGATGGATGCCGAGCAGGAGGCTGCTGGCGAGATTGACCCGTGGAGGCGGGTCTATCGGCTCATGAGATGCCCGGGTGCCCCGTGCGACAACGGACAGTGGTGCTGGCAGGATCGCGCCCGAAAGATGCACCACAAACTGCTTGATCATCACATGAGAGATCTTGTCCGGTGGGTACAGCAAGGCCATAGCTTGGATACCCATGACGATGTCCCGGAGGAGATCCGGGCGCAACTGTATGCCCAGGAACAACAGGGTCGCAAGCGCAAGCGGCAGCATTCGGGTTCAGACTCTGCTGGCCACGTCCCTGTAATCATCCATAACCATATTCCAGACTATGTGGCAGCGTCGGACAGAGCGTCACCAGATCTCGGCAGCCCAGTCAGTCCGCCTTCCCGTCCGCTCCCCCTTTGCGTGACTGGGCTGAGGGACGACGCTGTCGAGGCATACTACAAATGGCATTGCTCTAAAGTAAGAAGCCTTACGCAGAAACGATACTTCGAGCTTGCATACAACCTGACGCTCGAGAGGGGGCTGGATCTCGAGCTTGTTCATGAGGACAACGATGCTCAGTCTTTTATTGAGCAGGGCGTGCTGGAAGGTGTGGCTCGCCGATGGGTGCGTGATTTTCAGGTCTATCTCGAACATGAACACAGCATCCTAGAAGCATGATATTCTTATCTAGTTGATTGATTGCTTTAGTCCAGCGGGTCGTCAATGGAGATCGAACAGTTGTGGAAATGGCCCCTGGCACTTTTCTTCCGCTGGCCGACGATCGTCACACATTCCTCCAGAAACGATTGGAAATCAGCCCGTATGAATCCTTGATGTTCGTTCCAGACCTGTCGGATGAAGTTCTTCAACTCGCCAAAATAATGCTCAATGAGAATGATGTCTGGCGAATAGGGTGCCGAGTACAGCAGCACTACTCCCGCTGCCGCGCACATCTCCCGTATGCGGTCCGAGTGATGGAAAGAGGCATTGTCCATGATCAACACAGACCGGGGCTCGGGCCAGCGACTACAGTGTAGTAGGAGTATCTCGATAAAACTCTCGAAAACTTTCGCATCCGTCGATCCTTCATACACCCGAAAGTGTATCACCCCATCCTGAGTATACGCCGGCAGGGTCTGGTACCTCCGACCGCGGTGAAATCGCTTGATTTGACGTGGCCGCTTCCCTCGAGGAGCCCAGCCTCGACGGCGTATACCGATGCTCTTGTCTATGCCGGACTCGTCCACGAACACCAACTGCTCGGATCGGTACTGCGAGATCTGGTGCATGTATTCGTCTCGCAGGTCCAGGTTACGCTCTTGAGCGACATTCTGTGTGGCTTTCTGAGACCATTTATCCCTCCTCAAGGCCCTGCTAATGCTGAAGCGCGACACATCGGCTTCGTAGTATTTTCGAAGGAAGGCAGCCATGTGATTCAGAGTCAGACATGGGTCAACAGCGAGGTTGCCGCGCAGGGCGCTCAGCATAGGAGGCGTTATCGACTTGGGGCGGCCGGGGGTATTTGTCGGAGTCTCTGTGGTTCCAAAGGTGCGCAGCTTCGAGCGGATTCGGCGTACCGTTCGTGGATGACATCCGACGAGATTGGCTATGCTGTCATCAGTGGCGGTCGTCTCACGCAGCAACTTACTGTAGATAAGGTTTCGAAGAAGATCACGCGAAGAACGAGCAAGATGAGGCGCCAGGATGGCAAAGCCCGTTGCTGACTCTGCTGACCTTCACTGGATTGACGACGGTGAGATGAGATTTCCATTTTGGACATTGTGGTGGTGGTGAGTCAACTGAAAGGCCACGGTGTTCATCCGTTCCTGGCGTAAGCCATTTCTGGAGTAATCATTTCAGATCCCTGCCGGTACTTTGTGCGAGGCTCAAGAGGATTCGCACTGTCTGGAGGAGTCTGTGCGTTCAGAGGGCCAAATGAGTTTGATCCAACGGGACATGCTTTTTGCACATAGCTGTACAGTATTGTGGAGGCCTTTTCGCGGACTCCTGTATGCCTGCAAGACAGAGGAAGAGGGAAGATATTGGATACTTGTTTGTTTGAAGAATCATTCGACGTTGTTGAGTCGATCGCTGTCGAGAAGCTCCGGAACGCGCTACGTGGCACTAGCACGATCCACCGCGTGGCGACTCTACGCACGTCCCGACGCGATGGATCGCGAGCCAGATTCGACGTCCATCACCGTTGCGAGGGAGGTGACGGTAGCAAGCGACGAG